GTCTTTTTAACTACATACACATATATATATATACAAATATATATATATATATATATATATATGGGTAAATACTTTAAGGCCCCTATATTAGAATGATCGCAAATCGTTTCCGGCAACTTCCGAATTCAAAGCCCCCGTCTCCCGTGAGGCATTCAAACATCCAAGGACTCTCGTGCCCCGAAACCCTACCGAAACCCTACGGCTGTTTAGCCACAAAAGCATCGACCTCAAGCATGAAAACGAGCCAACTCACGCATCATCAAATCCCCCGAACTTATTTAATTACTGCGTCTTTCGGTCCAGGTGATCTTCCGGGGCTTCTGGATAGCGGTGGGGCTGTACAGCTTGCAGCCCACAGCACCCCTACCCTCTGCATCACATAGGACCGCTGTTGTGCATCTGGGCCTTGTCAGGCCCTACAAATCTTGACAGGATTCAGGGATGCACCTGAGCGTCTTTCCCAGGGGCTGTTTCGCTTTACTAAACTACTAGCCCCGAGCCGATCAGCATGAGCTAAGCAAGCCACGAGGTAGACATCTCCGCAATATTGGCGAAACTGTTCGGCAAAACACCTTAGGTTGCGCAGGCTTCGGCAAACATAGGATGCAGGATTTCCAAGTTTTTCTCAGTTCTGGTTATGTGCGCTCCGGGTCAGAGGCTGATAAGTTAGGCTGATAAGGGGCCTTCTCGAAAAGCCAGCTCTGCGATGTACAATCTTGGGCGCATCGCAAATGCCTTCCCTACGAAAACATGTCCAGCCTCGATGCTTTGTCTCATCCGCATGTGGAGCGTTGCAACAACCAATCCGTCCGATGGAAGCGGTACATGCCTGGATGCCTCAACTAAAGCATAGGCTTTTCCACCGGACCACTCCTGAACCCGACGAGTACACTGCGGTCCAGAGGCTCATCATGATCTGCAGTGACCTGAGAACCGTGAGGGCGGGGAAAACCTTGGCGCGAACATGGACTTTCAAAGCAGGTTGACTTGTTGGTGTTGGGTAATAAAAAATTTCAAGTCAGGCTGGAAGAGCTGAGATGATAAAACCTGGCATTAAATATTGCAAACATGGTCTCTGAATACTGCGATCATGTTTGCACTCGTCCTCGTCGTCCTCGTTGCGAACGTCTTCACAGCCATCGCACACTGTAAGTCCTTTTCATTATAGCGATGATGACAGTGATGGCAATGGTACCAGACATGTAGGTGTCATCACCAGCAGTGACTGCACCCTGGGCTTTGCCCATCTGTTCTGGGCGGCTGAAGTCCTAGGAGCTGCCCTTCTCCATGCAGCAAGACATAAATGTGCACACCGTTTCCTTTAGGGAAGCAATTACATTCCGCTTGGTCTATGTTGCATGCTGGTCGGCACATGATATGAAAATCACATGCAGCCCTGTCATAACAGCGCCTACGTGCGCCTACGACACTGCGTGAAATTTCTCAGCACCAGCTGGCAACCGCGAACCCGTCGGCCACAGCATCACATGCATTGGTGTTGTTTCCAACGTGTTCAGCGACCGTTTGCGAATATGGCCATGCAGGAGGAGGGATTTGAAGCACGATGCAGTACAAACCCATCAGCCGAGTCGTGCCATATGCAGCCAAGCTGCGAGCTCCGCAGTCATCTCACCACCGAGAAGCGCGTACGTCGTGAACCTCATCTGGCCGAACAGCGACTGGACTGTGCGCGAGGCCAAGTCCCACGGTTGTGGGGCCAGAGGTGCGTGGATCGCTGCAAGTTTGATGAACCTAGAAATCACTCTCCTGCAGCACATGCAATTCTAATATGCTTCGGTTCGTGTACTGCAGGACATACATTTCTAATATGCTTCGGTTCTGGACTACTGAAGGCTTTTTGGCAAGGCTTCGGATGGCGTAATCGACGTCACGAGCCGTCGAATTCTCAGCTCGCCACGTGCAAAAGCCAACAATGCATGGCGAGGTAAGCGACATCATCAAGTTGACCTGAATCCGGATGCAATCACATGCTGCATGTAAGCGAGCCCTAACTGCTCACATTCACATGGGCATACTTTTTTCAACACCTGCCAGCTACCGGCTAGCCAGTCTTAACTGACATAACCATTTCACCACTACCATCATCACCATCATCGTCATGGTCATCGTCATCATCACCACCATCATAAGCATCATCATCACCATCCTCATCCATCGTCACGCCAAACCTACGAGGCTTAGTTCAGATTCGTGGGTGAGTCGCCTTGTCGAGTAGATCGTGAAGCTGCAAGCGAAAGTGCGAAGCTGCTACAAATCCTGCTGAGGCTCATGAGGGCAACTCCCATGAAGGACATGGCTACTACTACTACTACTACTACTACTACTACTATGCTTGCTCAACTTCCACAGCATAGACCGGATATGTCGAAAGCACATGCTCTGAGACCCTGAAGCCAGCATGAGATCCAGGCCCCTTTCCAAAGAAGGACACGCCGATGGTGACTGAGCTCGGCTTTCCGCACAGCCTGCATCTGCAAAATGCCTCCTAGCTGCTAGCTCTCACATTCTACATTCAGGGGTGCGTTTTCTTGGAGGCTTCTTTACAATTGTGATGTTGTACTTTTACTTGTCAAGAACCAGACGTGCTATACATGCAAAGACGTCCAGGCCTGCAGGCCTTCAGAGAGGCAAGCCATGCGAGGGTGCATCGGTCTGGAGACATACCTACAGCAAGACCTCCCATCTGCAAAGTATGCGCAAGATTTTGGAGAGCTTCCTAAGACGCAAAAAAAAGGACCCGAAACGAGAAACTCTGTCGAGTGTGTCGGGGAAGAGGTCTTCGTCCACGGCTTTACGGCAACCTTGTTCGCAAATGCTCGCGACATGGATCACCACAGCTTTACCATCTTACACTAATCTTACAATAGCATCACACAGTCATGCAATCAACTCCGACATTCGGGCGATATCTTAGGTTTGTCAGTGTCGCTGTCGGAGAAGTCGGGTTCCTTGCTCACCGATAGACTGAGGAAGATCATTCTCTGACGACCGCTGATCGCCTTGTCACTAAAACTGCATCGCACGAGCTCCAAGCGTCACATCTGACAGTCTAAGTAATGAAACCGTCCCAGAGCTAAGCTGGACAAGAAAAAGAGTCAGGAATGCAGGACGACATCTGGAAGAGGTATGCATAGATGTCAAAACCGAGCATAACCGAGGTACTTGTCTTCAAAACGCGAGACAAGCCCTCCTGCAGCTAAATGCGGATTCAGCCTGAAACCGTGCGATTGGGGTGCAGAGTTCGCGACGGAGGAATGGCATGAAAACGAAATAGAAAAGATTCCTGGCTGACTGCAGACTTCTTCTTCGTGTGCCTATCTTCGCACAGGCTTGCTACCTTGCTTTTTTTTAATACACAGGCTTGATTGGAGCTCGCCCGGAACCCTACCCTAAACCCTAAACCCTAACCCAGATGATGATTCCGTGGGCCCTTGGTGCTGCCTGTAGCTTCAGCTCGGCCACAGAGGTCCAACCATTCCTTGGCTTTGACTTCAGAAGCCATGACTTCCCGCTTTAGGAACTTTAAGGGTTTATGACGGTTTATGAGAACCTTCAAGAACAAAAACAAGAGGCTTGGTGTATGCCCGGAAGTGACTCCACATCGCTACATTGCCTGTTTTCTGTCATGAAAGGCAGACGCTGCAAGAGCACATGAGAAGAGCAAAAACCCGGATAAGCCTGACATCTTGAGGCTTCCATGGCACAGATGCAGATCTGAAGCCTTAACCTGCATGAAGGCATAATGCCTCTCTGTCTGTCTGGTCTGTCGTTCTGTGCATCTGTCCGTCTGTGTTTGTGCCTGCGCCTCTGTCGGTGTCTGCTGCGTCTCTGGGTGCGGGCGGGTCAGTTGTGTGTCTCTGTCTGTAGATGTTTACATACTCCACATTCATAGATCCGAGCCTACACTGCACCTGGGACACCAGATTTTGCTCGACCAACATCGGTGCAGAGGAATGCAGTGGAGCATTGACACTTGCAAAAGATAAGCTGCACTGTCGATCTCAGTCTCATTAGCACCATATTCAAAAAACTTCGACCTCGGGCAAAGTACTCGGCGTGGAGATCGCAAGTGCAGCATCGCATGTAGGGCCTCATGCCCTGTATGCTTCATACTATATATCAGGAGCTCTTCCCAGAAACGGAACCTAAAGTTTCTTGCAAAGTCCCTGGTCCCTGCCGGAGCCACAAGACAGGGTCCGATGTTGGGAAGATGCACCTTGAACCATCCTGGCCTCGCGCGGAAACGAGGGGGCAGTGCCCCCAACAGAGCTTTCAGCGCCGAGCCCATGTTTCACGTAGCCTCACTAGCCACACCCACCCTCAGCCAAGGAAACGAGCCCAGAGCGCGTTGCGATGCCGTCGGCAAAGTTTCTGAACTTAGGTGCCGCTCGAGCGGCACTGTTGTCTCTCCCCTTTGGACTACAGGAAGAACCTTCAGCCCAGAAAAAGAAGGTAACAAAGATCCAGCCCGAGGGACTGGCACTGTTGCTCTTTGAGGTGCTTTCCCCCAGCGCTCGGCCCATGCACTTTATTTGGTGGCCCTGCCTCAAGGCTCACGGAAGTTCAACTGAGGCTCAACCGGGGCTTCCGACTGCGGCTTGACCTAGGGTCATAGGATCATTTTGACACCTTCCCAAAGGCAGGGCCAGCCTGTTCAGCTGCTGTACTGTCTCGGAGAGTGCAAGGTTCAGGATTCACCCTGCTGCCCCTGATCCGGATCTTCCCAGGGAGGGGCAGGAGATGAGGGCTCGGACACCGATTACACACTCAGCTCTCAGCTCTCCCTATGGCCCATAGGACCCGGAATGCCGCAGAGGGCTGTAAAAGGCAGCCCTGGGAGCTGAAGCGAAGATTCTCCAAATGCTACACCCTACCTGTAGTCTCCATTGTAGTTCCTTTTTTTGGTTTAACCAATTCTATGTTTAGGATCCTGTAAGGCAACCCCAAAAAGGAACTACAATGGAGACTCTTGGTACGACCCTGTACATGAGAATCCAGTCCACGTCCGCCATTTCCAAACCCCAGAGAGAAGACCTCAAACTCCACGACTAGAGTATAGTGCTCCGATGGAAACCTGAAGCCCAGCTGCAAAGGGGATGCAGTCTTGAGCCTGTTTAGGGCTTAGGTTTAGGGTTTAGGGTTTAGGGTTTAGGGGTTGTTTTTGACACTCACACTCGGACAAGCCTTTTAGGGGTTTAGGGGTTTAGGGTTGAGGATTTTGGGCTTAGGGGTTTAGGGTAACTCTCATATCATCTCCTGCCACAATTGGGCCCAAATTGGCTGCCTCTCTTAGAGCCAGGCACCCTTCCTGGGGAGACGCGCGTCCCCGAGTCTCTGATCTTCACCTACCCAGACCCTCCCGTGTCAGACTTTTAGGGTTTAGGGTTTAGGGACTCTCAGACTTTTGGTGTGTTGCTCAGGAAATTTTGAGCATGATTGGGAAACCAACACTGCAGGATCCAATGTCGGTGCCCCCCTAAAGCACAGATTGGGGCCTAAACGCTGCGACCATGAACTTGATTAAAGGCAATCCCGCTTACTTACTATCTTCCACAACTCTAACTTAGTCCCAAAGTCCCTTGTATGATTCACTGACCGACTCCTTCGCGATTTCGCATACATGGAACAACACTTAGGGGAACTCTTGCCTGTTCCTGGTCACGGCAAGTGTCTCATGCCCCTTTGTCTGATATTGCCCCGGCGTGGCATGTCGTAGATAACCTCATACGACACATGTATGCCAGTGGTACTGTGCACCAAGATCTTTGGTTACCTTCTGTACCTCGGACTGTCCTTGCCGATTAAGACTGATAGTTTCCATTTTTAAACATCCGTCCTAAGATCATTTCAAGACTGCCGACCGATGCTACTGGGACTGCCGTGCGGCCTTCTACCGAAGAGATTGAACAGATCGTATCGCGGCAACTACAATCGAAACAGGAGCTCCTAAGTCATAAACCCTCAAACCTTGATCCCTGGATTTCGAGACACGCAAGCCCTCTGGGCTCCGAGGAAGAGAAAGTCTCGTGCCTCTCCTCAGCATGTCTCCTTAATACACAAAAACCAACAAGTGAAGTGTCAACATGTGCACCATCGCTTATAGTAAGCTTTGCATCTTCTACGCCTAGATTCATACACAACGCAAAACGACAACCTCCGAGGGAGCTGAGCCGTAGCAGCAAGACTTGCTGGCTAGATCCCTCGAATTCCAAGAGCGACATGTCATCACAAGTCTCTCATTCTGTCTGAATTCACACAGGCAGAAACGCATCGCCAGGGTTAAAGGGTGAGGGGACACTGTATGTGCGAGGACTTGTGCGGCTTTCTTTCAAAAGCTCTAACTCGCCATTCGCCAGGCTCGGGCTCCTGTCTTTATGTGTGTGTATATATATGTAGATGTAGATGAATATATGTATATGTATATGTATATGTATATGTATGTACGTACGTACGTACGTACGTACGTACGTACGTACGTACGTATGTATGTATGTATGTATATATGCATGTATATGTATATGTACATACATAAACATAGAGAGATCGATAGAGAGGTAGATAGATAGATAGATAGATAGATAGATAGACAGATAGATAGATAGATAGATAGATAGATCGATAGATAGATAGATAGATAGATAGATGGATGGACAGATGGACAGATGGACAGATAGACAGATGGACAAACAGACGGGCAGACAGGCAGACAGAGAGATAGAGACAGGGATAGAGATTAGATATAGATGTCGGTATAGGTTTAGGTATGGGTATAGGTACAGGTAGAAAAAATATATGTGGATACAAGTAGGTACAGATGTAGATATAGATACAGAGATATAAAGATATGGAGATGTAGATATAGAAATATAAACACGAATAAACATATGTTTACAATTAGATAAGTATATATATATACACACACACATATATATATATATACATACATACACAGGGTCTGGGGCCGAGGGTTTAGGGAGACTTCCGAAGGCGTGGCTGCCGCGGTATGACCTACGGAGGGCCGGCACTGCGATCCTTCTGCAATCGTGATCTGCATATATATATATATATATACATATGATAATGATAGAAAAAACAATATCTTATTAAAAATGTCAGTGTCGACGCATTGCTGCTTTGCTTACCGAGTGCCCTATACTACACAGGCCCATCCACCGCTGCAGATGTAGGTGCGAGCTCACTTCAACTCAAGACCTCAAGCAATGCTGCAGAGGACTGCGAAGTGCCGGCCCCATGTCATCAGCAAGTTGCATCAACCTCCATTCACCAGGGCGCATGCAGCGCCAAAGTATGTGTCATTGTCATTCCCTACTCACTGGACATCGCCCAGGGTCCCAGGGTCCCACAGCCGCACTTGGGGTGACTTGAATCGGGCCCCAGCTGCGAAGGCAGCCACAGTTCTGTGTTTCTGCGTTGTCTACAGGAGCAAATCCTCCTCTTCGGTGCCAAATGATGCTTCACGCAGCTGCCTACGGTCTGCAGAAAGCCTTCTGGCCATCTTGAGAAGCATGTTCGCAGCAGGCTATGTACAGAACTGTCCGGGCAGGTTTTGTAGAATTAGAGCTTCACCAGCTCGCACGCCGTGAGATCGGACCTCATCAGGCATGTACAGAGTATGCACCAGCAGATTGAAAGGCTCCCGCAGGATTGCAAAAGGAACGTTGCACGGAACGGCCCTTGACAAGAGAGAAAATCAGGAAATCCACTCAAACAGATACGGCAAAATGCCCGAGGCGAATTGGCGTGGGCATACCCCTGCCGACAATGCTTATCGTATCGGGCGCAAACGCCAAGCACCGAATCGCGGCCGTCTCACAGCACAGACTTCTACGACGAGAACCTGCAACCCTTTTCAGCACGGACCTATGCAACCCTCACCCCCTCTTAAGGCAAGAGCCTAGACCCCAAACGCTAAACCGTGCGATTCTTCACCTCCCCAAGCGCGGACCAAAAGGCATGCCCGCAGCAGTTTGTGCCACTCAACTCCTGAGGAAGCGAGGCAGTGACGCAACAACTCATTAAGTCAATCGGGAGCCGGGGCCCAATACCTTCAGTGGAAGCTGGCCCCCTCCCTCTCCTCATTGCACTAGCTGTAGGTATAGACATAGTTATATGGGTGTAGGTGTATCTATACGGACCTACCTAATTACGTACATACATGCAGACATACGACACCCAACAGAGGCGTGCGAGTTTCAAGAGGGGCCCATAGCCAGCAACGGCTGCTAAGGCCCGACAACCAGAATCCACATGTCCCTGTTCAACTTCAAGAGTTCTGAGACCACCTACGCAGAAAGACATGACGTGAGGAAACCATTATGTTATCATGGCTTTCAAACGAGATGAGCTTTTTCGGTTCAAGGGATCTGGAAACCCTAAACAGATTTCTGTACACCCTAAACTTCGGAGTCGGTTGGAGGTTTCGGGTCAGGACCTAGCCAGTGTTGCTACGTATTCAGACACCTATGCCTGATGTAGGGGCCTTGATAACAAGAATAGGATTTTGGGGTACAGTACAGTACTATTGTATACTTGTCATAAGGAACCCCCCAAAATAGCACAGGTAATTGTTCAGACCCCGATGCCTAGCCATCAAATATTAGAGGTCTTGGCCAGAAGCCCCCCTGGATCCCAACAGTCGGCTTGAGTTGCGACCTCCAAGACCTGTCTTTATTCACGGTAGAGTATAGACTAGTACCGTATAGTATGGTAGACCCTTTAGTAGATTGTGGCAGTCAGCCTTTGAGGTGAAAGAAGAGGCTTTGTCTGCTGCGCAAACTAGAATTACAACACTCCTCTCACACGACTTACAATCGTACTAGAAGACCCAGTAAATCTCGCAGACCACCGAACTGTTGTGTACGGCTGGGGCAGTCCATGTCTAATTCCTTCGGGGCCGTCTGACTCGGACATCCGTAGTTCTTATTTTGTCCCCACCTGCTTCGCCGACTAGGTCGCACTGAGGCAAAAGTTCTGGGTTGAGGGTTTATAGGGTTTGGTTTAGGGTTTCGGCGCTTACACTCGGACAATCCCTGCGAGGCATGTGGTTCGAGGTCTGCTTAAGAGTGAAACACACGCAGGGTTCAAGACCGCCATCACAACACACACACACACGTAATTCTAGGGTTTAGGGTTTATAGGGTTTAGAGTTTAGAGTTCTAAAGTAAAGTCGCGACTCAGCTTCTGACAAGGCTACAATCGGCCAAGTGTCCGTGTGATGCCGCGGCGGTGGGACAAAGTCAGCGTCGAAGCCTTCTCGGCACCGGGTGGCCTCCAAAAGCATGGGTGGCAGTGCCGAGCTCTTTCTGTACCTGTGTAAAAGTATACATATACATACATCTGTATGTACACATATATATATATATACACATGTCATTCACGGTCTTCATGCTCGTCTATGTTACTTCGTCTTTGATTTTGCTGCCGCCGACCTATACAGATAGCTAACTGAAAAACACGACAGATGAATCCAATACACAAAACTAGCTTCCTGCCAAGATACCCAACTGGGCCACGCGCAGCGAGGTGGTTGCTCTCGCTAACAGGCACCTGCCAAGCTTCGACGTATCATGGGGTTGACAAGGGTTCACGTCAGAACTACCACAGCGGTAGACTCAGCAGGCTCCTTCTGTAATCTTGCTCTTCGTAGGAATGGGGCTTCTAAGAGTCTTGAGAAGGAGTCCATAGCGAACCTCCCCACTCGGGGGCTTGGAGCCCTGCTGGGTTTCAACTCTGACCGCTGAAGGGTTTGGGCTGCGAGGGGACGTCCTTCCCCTCCTTTCAGACAGAAGCTTCTGCAACTTCTCGGTAGGCGTGCTTTTTCAGTGCTCAAGCTCTCTGTTGGCTAAGCCGAGTGGCTTGTCCAACTTCAGAGAGCACCGATTCGGCCTTCGTTGAGGTCAAGAATGACGGCTTACAGTGCTTCATCCAGGTCACCTATCTTCGGGGCTCACTGGTACTCCAAAGTTTGATCTTGCCACCTCCCGGGCATTCCTGAGACATGTCTGTTTGAGCCTGCCAGAACAGCCTAGCTCGAAACTGCCTTTTGCCCGGCATGGTGGCTAATCGTGAAAGCTTTTTCTACCCAGTGGACAATGCGTGACGCTGCAGTCCCGATCAGCTTTGCAGTACTCGTTTGGCCTTCTGGCAGCTTTACGAATGACAATGAACTCATCTTACAAGGGAGCTGAGCTGGACACTGGGGACTTCAACAATCGAACATGGAATGTTGGACCTTACTTACATATCTCAAGCACTTGCGAGGCTCTTGATGAGGCTGGTCGGCAGCAAGAAAAAGGTTAAGCAGCCGTGGGACCGTCCACCGAATCATGACGAGTACTCCCAGTATGGTCACCTTCAGCTTCCTCTCACACCGTGTTCCTTTCTATAACTAGTTTTTTCAGTTTGTCTTCGTACTATTGTAACAGGCTAGCCTTGTCCACGAGCTGCAGCTCATGCTCCAAGTACGCCTGGAAGTCCTGGTAGGCGACACGGCCAAGACCTGCCAAATGCAACCACGAATGTTTTTCGGACTTTTTCGCGTCACGCAAATCTTAACAACCTCAAACCACCAAGCAGTTTAGGGAGCTAAGGTGAAAGAAACTTCCAATGTTGGGAAGAAGAAGGCTTCGGAACGAGGCCTTGAGTATTCTAGCACTCCTCAACCCGGGGCCCGAGGTAATGTAGGCCTTTTTCAGTTAGAGCCGGGCTATTTTAGGCATATTCATACGAAACTTACAATCAGGAACCTGATGGAATAACTTTGTAGATACTTGTTCAAGCTTCTATATCATTTTGCCGTCGTTGCGCGCGGGAGCTGGACTCTGACTCCACGACACCGCAAATAGAACTTCAAGAAGGTCGCACATATCACAAGGAGTCCATGAAGGCAGAAATACCCAAGTTCCTAAACAAAAAAGTATCACAAGGAGTCCATGAAGGCAGAAATACCCAAGTTCCCAAACCAAAAAGTAAACTGCCATGCCCCTCAGAACCTCCAACCGAATCTCCTCGAGCCGGTCAGGCACAAATCCTTCAAGCCTGAACTGAGAAATCGCATGTTGCACCCACGGACGTCTCACGCCACGGCCTTTGCTGTCCATGGCCCGCACAAGGGCATCTGCATCGGTGTTTGCAGACACAAGGCCGCTCAAATGGAGCCTTGGTGGAGGTACTACGTAGATGAGGCTTTGGACTCATATAATATAATAGAATTTAGTATAATACTGTACGATTTAACATAATATAATATATTATACTGTAATATAATGGCCACCCTATGTCACCCTGGCGACTACGAATAGAAGAGCGCCACCGCCGGCAACAACAGCACAAACACTGCTACGGCAACTTGCGCCTGTCAGCGCAAATACATGTGCTACAATACAGAGGGCAGGTGTGTTCACCAAGAAAACGAGACTAGGACCGTGGCCACACTCTGCGGCAACGTTGACAATTATGGCAGCAATGACAGCAAGGACCATGACTGCCAGCTACATCATCACCATCATTCGTAATGGTCATTGCGCCACAACCGCACCCGCAACATGTGGGAGTTTCCGAACATTAGGGTACCTTATTTGGGGGTCCTTATAATAAGGATCCTATTATTTAGGGTACCATACTAGGGTCCCCTATTTTCGGAAACCCCCATGTATCCTAGACTCCCCAAAGTCTGATGGGCCGACCTGCGGGTAGGGCCCTGCCTTCGCCGTCTCTGGGGGGTCTAAGACAGTTGGAAGGGTTTAGGGCTGCTGGGTATAGCGCTCTTCGGCCATTCGACAGGTAGAGAGGATGGTCGTCGAGGTGGTGGTGCGAGACTGGTGAAGATCAAGCCTAAACCCCCCAAAGCCTTCAGAGTAGGGTTTGCTTAGGCCACGTGGCATCTTGACCATATCAGAGTTCTCCACCCAGCCCTTGCCCACCGTGTCGAACTCGTGCCAGGCGACCTTCACTGCCTCGTCAGGGTTGAGGGTATGGGGTTGGGGGTGAAATTGGTGAGACTCTCGCAACGCGGGCGCGACAGGCAAGGATCATAAGGCTCGGGTTTGGGGTGAAGGGGTTGGGGCGGTTTGGGCATGCTTGAGGTTTTCACTTGCTCCAGTGACTCCGTCTACTTCAGAGCCTTCCGGCATTGTGGGTTGGACCTTTCCATCACGAGGGAACGCTGCTGTGACGGGTGCAGCTACGATGGCGCAAAGTCGCTGCACTGATGAGACTAGGTTGAGACCAACAGCTAAAGCTAGCAGCCACAAGATGACTGAAGAACCAGCACCATCAAACGATGGGGCTATCAGAACATAGGGCACCCTATTACAGACACGAAACGGTAGGATCCACGAGGATACCAAAAGAAACACCCCACGCTTTATCTTAAGAGACAAGGCATTCCTCGGAGGTTTGGGGTTTTGGCGCGTTTAGAGGTTAGGGCCTTCTTCTGCCATTCGCCCGACGTCGCGATACAGGCAGCCACGAACTCCTCACGAAGCTGCGTGCAGTGCTCGTTGAGCCCTGCCTCTACGTACTTTGTGAGAACGTGAGAACTTTAAAACAAACAGCCATCAGAAATTGATGCTCCTTGTTGTTTGTGTTGAGATGGTGGTGGCCGGCGATTAGTTTTGCATAGTTTTTTGCATCGGTACTTCGCCGAAAGTTCTCCTACGCCACAGCCACGAATCTGGCGAATAAACACTATTTCACTGCCAGCTCGGACGCTCAATCAAACTCAGACAGACTAAAGCGGTTCGACGTCTCACAAAGACGGGACCTCGAATTGTCCGAACTGATCTTCGTTTAGAGGCAATCGCAGGGAAAGTGGGAATATCGTCGGCTTCGAAGCAGCTGGGTCGAGTTGCTGTCTAACTTTGGCATTCGTGGGGGGTGGGTGTTCCTCTCAAGGGGGTAAAAAGGGGGTAAAGCTCTTGTGCAGACAGAGGAAATCTGAAGATTGGAGACGAGTTGGAGAAAGAGTGGTGAAGAACTCAAGCCAAAGACTTGGCGGCCAGCTGACAGATGCACAGGAAAGATCAGTGCCACCGTACCCTAGGCCTTGAACCTTACCAAACCGCCCTTTCCAGCCCTACTAAACCTTACCAAACCCCACTAAAGCCTGCCAAACCCTAACACACCCTACTGAACCCGACCAGACCCTACTATACCCCAGTAGATCCGAGTAGAGCCTCACGCCATTCAAAGAGACTGCAAGCCAAGTTCCTCAAGAAAACCTCAGGAACGTCTCCAACGCAACCCAACCCTACAAACCCAAAGCCCTACCATAGGCGCCTTAGTTATTAGAACAGGGTGCGGGGGGAGGGGGGGACGGTATATCATAATTAATCCGTCCGTATGTATTATGAGGTATGTTATATTCTACCATCATATGCATAAGGGACTTTAAGGGGATGCTGTTTTTGCAGTCATTCAGATCTCCATATACTAAACCGCCCCGCTCCGAGAACTCCACGCAGCCGTTGCCGTCGACGTCCAGCGCTTTGACCGCGGTCTCCGCGTCGCGCGGGGTCAGGCCAAGGGACTCGAAGGAAGTTTGCCTCGGCTTAGGGTTTAGGGTTTTTTTTGCCTCCTACCTAGCAAGGGTTTAGGGTTTAGGGTTTATAGGGTTTATAGGGTTTAGGGCGTTAGGGTTTTAGGGTTTAGGGTGCCCTGAACCCTAAACCCGTGGCTATGTGGCTATTAGGGTTCGTTTGACACACTCGGGCAAGCCTGGCAAGGTCTGTGGCGACACTGATTCAACGCGTCATTAACAAACGCCTGAGGGTTTATAGGGTTATAAGGTTTCGACTTTCACTCTCGCAAAAGGCAGGCAAGGCTCCACACGGTTTAGAGTTTTGGTTCCTCCTTGTTTCGCCTCCTACTTCTTAGGATTTTGGGGCCTACGTGCTGCTTCCGCTACTGCTGCAGCGACTGACTACTTCGTCGACCCCTGCTACCAAACTCTCGAAACTTCCAGTACTATAGATATTCATACTCCCAATAGCCCAAGCTTCGGGGGAGCCTCACAATGCAAGATGCCATTTTCTTGTGAATGATGGCTTCCCTGAAGCCTAGCAAAGCCGAAAACAAATCGTTGTTCCCTGCCCTGCCCCAAGACATGCTCGCAAAACCGTCCTTACTTCGCTGTTGGGGCTTATCAATGTATTTATAAGCGCAGGCTATAAGGGAAGTGTGTGCTAAGCTTCTTCAGGCTCCAATGTTTCCGGCAGAAACGAGAAGCCCCAAACGCTCCTTCCTGCGGCCGGTCGACAGGTCCGCCGTGCGCAAAGAGCCACAGCTGGGTCGACTAAGGTCCTTCCCAGCACTCTGAGGGCTCTGATCTCTAGGGCTTACCACAGCAGGTACGATAAAGATTACTATAAGGGTTACTATAGTCACTAAAGTAGTTCCTGTGGTATGAGTGTTAGTATGAAGGTTTCCGATTCGAGCTTTCCGTGGATATTCTGCCGGAGTCGCACTCCGCCTTCACAAAAAAGCCACAGTCGATCCTTGCGGAGAACTAAGTCCACGTACATACAGATGAATAGAGTCAGAATCGATGTGAGAGAGAGAGAGAGAGCTGCGGCAAAGATGATGGCCGATTTCAGCTGCTGCAGGGACAATCCTCTGGGAGCCAGGCCTCAAACCTCAACTCAACAGGTTTTGCAAGTCAAACAGAAAGTTTTTCGTAGTAGTTATGATGCTATTACTATATTCAACAGTCTTCGTATACATATATATATATATATATATATATGCGTGTGTGTGTATATGTGTATATGTGTGTGTATATATATATATATACTAGGAGGCAAAAATGAGAATAACACGACTCCTTGTTCGGATCTGTCGGCTTAGAGCTGATTACATGCCTAATATCATGATAAAGATTACCTTGAGCAACACCTTGGCAAAGAAACAGCCTCGACATGCAACTGCATATGTGACTTTTGGCCATGCAAGTCCAAGTACGCATCCACGCAATTTCATGATCTGGGGCTGCCTTGAACTCTGCCACCAAGTCCGCTGTTTGTGCAGTAGACATCTTGGTCGCCACCTGGCCAGGTGAGACAGCTTCGGGATCAAAACAGTGTGGCCAGTACGAGCTCTTCGGTCATGCTGTTTCGACCACTCCAGGACCATCCCAACAAGTTCTGCACATATCCGAACTAAGCTGTAGGCAACGAGCTTCTATGCTGCAACTTCACCATTGTGATTGGTTGCTGACTCTGGGTGTGGCCGGTTCATTCGCTGGCTCCATCCATTCCCCATCCGTTGAACTGAAAGCGTAAAGCCTGCTGAAACCCGACTCGGCACCTGCTCGTCTGGGGTATTGGGTGAACCCTTCCTGAATCCCGAGCAGCAAATCCAAACAAAAACCCATGTGAAGTATGCATTGAACTCAAGGTGCAACCCCCGCCCCCACCCCCACCCCACCCCACCCCCAACGCCACCCCACCCCCCACCCCTTCTCTCGAAGCCGGCGGAAAGCCCGGCAAAGAAGCAGCCGGCCTTAGCCATCAAGGCCCGCTGGAAGGCGCTGTGTTGCCGATATCTGGCCAGGGCCTGCCGCTGTGGATTCCACTTTAGGGCTTAGGGCTTAGGGCTTCTTTTGGGGTTTAGGGTTTATCTATAGGGTTGAGGGCTATCATCATCACCATGTCACCACAGAAACATGAGGGTGCTTGAAGAAAGACACCCAGTTGCTTGACTGCTATCTAATCTGCTTACTCTTACCGGTTTAAAAGGGAATCGATGTTAAGCTTCTTATTTACTATTTTTTGCTTTAAAAGGCAAACCACATTGTCAAACTTAATGAGGGGCTTGCTCTTAAATCCGATAGCGCTTCTCACATCTTCTTTTCACCCCTCACATCACCATCTCGTCATCCACTCGCGTGAACTCTGTCAGCTTAGCCATGCTACATGCAAGGTTTACGAGGCGTCACCAACCATCCACGAGCATGTCGGCATGTCTAATTCTCACCGCTCGGTTCTCAGGACGACATGAAACGCACAAGAAAGCCCCAATACCCCAATTTGATGCACCTGGCCCCTCCAGGCCGGAATTCTTGGAGTCAGGAAGCCGCAGACTTTTTGACAAGCTTGATTCGAGATTCGGGACGACGAATATAGGGGGCCTCTTCAGACTCTCGCAACTCTGGCAATGGAGGCGAGGATGGTCCATAGTAGGGTTTTGGGGTGTTTTACAATGTACCTAAACACAATAGGGCACCGTACGGAATAGGATTACTGATTATTCAGGCTTCTAAAATATACATTGGGTGACTGGTGCGTCGGACTGCTAGGGTTCTCCATACTTACCGGTTGGCTCGCAGACCGAGGAGAGGCATCGCAAGATCCGGATATTTTTTCATTGAAACAAAATGCGCTGTCCCGGTGGGACTACGTAAGGTTTAGGCTTTACTTCAAGCGCTTATGGACCCTAAATCTAGCGAACCCCTTTTACAAACCATAAACCGATGTTCCAACTTTCTGGCCCCCTACTTCGGTTGCTCAGTTCCCACCACATGCTGCATCTGCAGTGTGGCAAAGATCCGACCCTCTCTGAAGCCTGACAGTAAATCCGGAAGCCCTCAACCCCAGCATGGGCTACTTGGATTGTGTGAAATCCTAAACCCTAAACCCCTCAACCCCTAAACCCCTAAACCCCCAAACCCTAAACCCCAAAGTAAACCCCACAAAGTTGGAAACCGGATTAAGCGCGCAAGTGCCTGGAGCTGCTCAGCGGGGATAACAGCTGACGAGCCACGTGCCATTTGGAACCACCTGCTGTGTTCAAGTGTAATTGCAGTTTGGTATAGTATGGTATGGTATAGTATATTGTATCACATTATCACCTCATGCAGTTGTTGTGTCGCAAGCTGTGGTCATGCTGCAGGTTTGCTTGCCGCTCTGCAGTCTGAAACGTACACCTGTCCACACGTACAGGACGCGGCAGGACCATCGTATCTGCGGTCCATAGGCCACGAGCAATGAAATCTTCAATGTGCTGCAAGATGTCAATTGCGAGTCGATCCGAAAGGTCAGGGGCAAGTGTCGCAGGACCAGTCGGCCACCTCTCCTGCCTGAAAAAAAAAGTGAATCTTGCAAAGTACTTCGAAGAAATCGGAATGATGAACACAGCCAGGGATGAAATGAGCTTCCATCTCGCGACAGATAGAAATGTGGCTACTCTTTTATCTAGTCGAAGAATATGAAGCGGCAGACTTGAGGGATACCACCTGGCCAGTCAGGCATCTCAACAGGGATCCCAATATAGTCATCTAGGTGCGCCTTACAATAAGGCATAAGGTGAAAAAGACCTACCGAAAGATATGAGAAATCTGATGCTCCAGTGCAAACACCTTACTTAAACAACCGTCATAGAACCCGTGAGCAATGTCCAGAACCCCCTGATTTGTGCCTTGAGACACTCCCGGCCTGTGTTCCAAAGCCTCCTCACAGCTCGGTCTCGTTGTCTCCTGAGGGGCGTGTTTAAACTTCAGCTATTTGGGGGGATGGCTGCGACTGCGAGCTCTGGCCACAAAATACAGGGTGGACGGCGCCGAAACACTTATCGTATTGTTCGTGGCTGTTTCATGCTATTCTGTGCTTTTCGTCTTCCACTCTTGGCAAAATGGTCGATCCCGACACCGTGAACCTCGAATTCCCAAGCCCTCGACCCCTGCCCGCTAAACTACAATCCTAAGACCCTAAACTCCTAAACCATACTTACGCCCCAAGAGGCAGTGTGCGAGACCCCCGGCCTGTGGAGCCATCATCCGCCGAACGAGCTCCTGTGAGCGTAGCTTCCAACTTCTTGTCTCCCCAGCCCCACAACGGACGAAGCTTCAACAAATACATCAGGACATGCAAAATCCGGTCAGACGTCGGCGACTAACTCCATGTCTGTGTAGGCATATGGGTGTGTATACACATAGACATGTATGTGTTTATCGTGCTGTTTGCTTTTTTTTTGAGCCATTATATAGAGAGAAAGAACGAACGAAAAGAAAGAAGAAACAAAAAGGAGAAACAACCACACATGCTGCGCAAGGTCGTAGGTCCTTGATTTTGAGGCTTGTCACGACAACTCCATCTAAGGCATGGTCCTGTAAATACCTGCAGCCTGCCAGGTTTCACCTGCTGCGATCTCAACAGGCTTTCGGCGTTAGTGCGGATGCTCTCGGATTGAGGTGTGTAGGCCTCGAATAAATATGGATGCCCACGAGGATCAGTCCGAAACACCACGACTCATCGCCCGAACTACGATGATATCGCACCCAGGAAGTCTACATGTCGAGGCAAGAATGAGCCTCACAAAGCTCAAAAACAATTACAGCAATGACAGCAACAATCGTCACAGCAACAACTGCGATGCAGATTGCGAGAGGGAATTAATGCATGGTCATCAACAGAAGCATACCATGCACGATTTCATCGTGCATTACCAGCATGGCGAGATTGCCCATACAAAAGTCACACAAGAATACTATTCAGACAATGCAAACATTACGTTGACAACCACCCAATACATGGAGCTTAAGAATGCAGCTAAAGACACCTAAGAGTGGGCATACTGAAAGATCACCGAACATCTCTTTGTCTTGCCATGGTCGTGCTGCCCTCCGGGCTCGGGCAGCAGGGACTTCTCCGGCTTGGGATCAGGGGCAAATGCAGCGTCCTGGGAGTCTGCCGACGCCTTCGAGACGAGGCGCCAGTCCGGGCCTGGCACAGAAGCTTTCTACTTAAGGCCAGCCTCGCAACATGTGACACACCTTGATCAGTAACTGTCGTCTTTCGCCTTCAGCTTTCGCAATAATTATACCCCTTACAGGACTAGGTTGCTCCTAAACACCAACATCAACACTTCAACCGCTCCATCTCCACAGCCCCAGGATTCCCAGCTTTCGTTGGGAATTGGACCCTTGCAACTCGGACGATTATGAATTATGTATGTATATTATTCTTATTATTACTATTATTGCCGGTACATGGGGTAACCGGCAGATGACCACGGTGCTGTTGAGCGGGGAGGGAAGAGCCCTGGTCGCCGTGCATTGCATGTTGTGAGTCGAACCAATTTCAACTGTTGAACACATCCTGTCTTCTGGCTTCAAGACCCACACACACAGACACTTATAGAACCATTTAAACCCAAAGACCGAAAGCCCCAAAACCTGCGCACCTTCCGATCCAAATTCTGACCTGTCCCAAGCACAGAAGTCCCCAAGCTTTGTCCACACCTGGCCTCGCAACTTTGCATCCAGGAAGATCCCCCGCTCCTGCAGAGGACTGGGGTGATCGGGGTCCCTGCCACTGCTGCTTTGGTACTATACGAGAGGTGCAAAACAGTCAAGCTTCGCAGTGACTGCAACTCGTCTTGTTATTGCCTGCAATGGGAGGTTGCCCTCGGAACCATGGGGGTGCAAATCCGCACGTGAACCTGACAGCCTGAAGATATAGTGGCTGAGAAGAAGAACTGAGACACGCCTACGGCTGCTAGTGCTGTTGGTTCCAGAACTGTCGCGGCCACGGCTTCTGGAATGACTATGATGCAGGCATTGCAAAAATAGAAAACAGGACGAGGTTACAATTGCTGCTGATGCTGCTGCTAATGCCTGCAAACTTATCAACAGGATGCACATGGATGCTCCAAGCGGTCGATTTCGAGAGCGTCTAATCTCACCAATGGACCACTATGCCGTGCGGGTAATCGTGGTATTATCCCGGTTAGAGCAATAAACACATGAATCTCATGATCATCTTGTGCTTGCTGTCAGAACCACAACGAAATCAACAAAACAACAACCACAACCCAGCAACTGAAGCTGACAGCTGATTAAACAAACGTATCTTTGCATATGCACACATATATACATATCGACATATATATATATATATGTGTGTGTGTGTGTGTGTCTATCTACCAACCAATATATATATATATATAATAATAATAATAGTAATAATAATAATAAATACTAGGCCGGGATGCTGGGCGGCTGGGCTGGGGGCTGGGGAGCTGGGGGGGCTGGGGCTGGGCTTGGGGTGCGCTGGGTGGACTGGCTGGGCTGGTGCGGTGCGAGCTGTTGGGCTTGGGGGGCTGGACTATAAATATATATATATATAATCACACATACGCGCACACATATTGAGAGACAGACAGATACTAGATAGATAGTTAGTGGTGAGTTAGACCGATACATACACATACTCCAGCACTTGCATACATACATACGTACGTACATATCGTACATACTGGGCCCGGAGATCGCCTGAGCCTTGCTGCGGCAGCCCTGCAGTCGCCGTTGCATGTCTGCGCTGTTGGGGTCGCATGGAAGCTGGCCGCTGAGAAGCCTGGGTCTTCTGTTCTCTTGAAGCGCCCCTGTTCTGCTAATGTAGGGGCCTTCATAATTAGCCTTTACGGGGTAGCGCTTCCTTTTCTTGAGATTCCAAAGCCTTCGGTGCTTGACAAGTCAGCATGTGCACGCACAGACTCCCCCTTCAGCGCTCTGCTGAATTTGGTGTGGCGTGTCACCTTTAGAGAAAACAAAATCAGCCAAACTGCTTCGGGAGGCACGTACGGCCTCCGACCCGACTCAAGGCTTGTTCAGAAGTTCATCTGTACACTTCATTGAACCTTATCCTTACTGCTTTTAGCAGCAGCACATGACAAAGGGTGCATCTGGAGCTCGGTGCGACCCTTCCATTCTCGATCAGCCAACACTCGAGCAGGCTTGGTCATCTTCAGGTAGTTGTCATCAAGTACACGAACCTCGCCGGTAGGGAACTTGGCATACGTCCGTCTCTGACCACTAAGACGGCTCAACTCTGGCCCCCCTGCACAGTGTCCTGGAACGAAAAGGTGCTGGCGAGGCTTGGCATGCCAGCGAATCGCCACGTTCCTCTCGTAGTCGATTTCCCAGCGATCACGATCTCCGCTAGGCACAAAGAAGCTGTAAGGGCCATCCTCGCGTCGTGAGAGAACCGGTTCCGGGATTGGTGGCGTAGGTGGACGTCTACGGCGGGATGCCGTGGTCGAGAAAGTTGCGCCTTCTTCTGGAACAGAGCTCGAGGTGGAAGGAGTGGCATCGCTGTCACGGGGACGCCTCGCTCTGCTTCGACCACAACACCATTCTTGAATCACCCACTTAACCAACTCATACACTGCGATGATCACCGCCACGACCGCAATCATCACGCCGTAGTAGACATAGTCCACACGCTCATTTTCATTCGCTTCTGCCTGATCCACCAGTGAAGCAACACACACCAGCAGCAAAAGCCTTTTTGCGACCTGGGGAGGGATCTTGGAGGCTGCTACTCCCTCGGAGGAGACCCGAGTCCGAGACATCTGCATCCGGCCTACCAACATCTGGAAGCGATCAGCTGCCAAAGGCTTGGTCCCAACATCCGCGGTCATCACGCGGCCATCGATGTGGAACGACGTCCAATCTTCTTGATCAAGTAGTTCACGAACCAAGTTGCCACGAATCCGCAAATGCCTCGTCCTCCAGCTTCCTGCAGCGCAGCGACATACTGCCAATGCCGCCTGAGAGTCACTATACAAGACCTTTCGGATCTTGCCCACGTCCGCTGCGCAGCCCAGCATCACCTCAGCCGCCAAGTGCTCCACAGACTTCATGCACGTGACCAACTCACAGATGCCCACCAGTTCACTTTCCGCGGTTGACATCGTCACGAAAGGTTGTCTGGAACTCGTCCAGGCAATCAATCCGCCGGCCATGAAGATCAGGATGCACTGTTGGCTGCGCTCTGAGTCTGGAGCAAAAGAGGCATCACTGAATCCTTCGAGGAAAGGGCCCTCGCCTGAAGTCCTGGCCTCCTTGTCCGCAACCGGAGCGGAGGCGTAGCAAAGGCCTCCCGCAGGATACCTCTTCAAATACCGCAAAAGATGTCCTCCGCGGTACACAGCTTCCTTCGGGGACTTGGAGATGGCTTGGGACAGCATGTTGGTGGCGTAGATCAACTCCGGCCGACATCTCCCCGCCAGCCACTGGATCTCTCCGGCCATCACCTGGGCCGCCCGCACATAGTCAGAAGTCTTTTCATCCGGCTTCAGCTCGAACTCCTCGGGCTTGAACTGGACCGGGGCTGGAACCTCTTCGTAGCCAATGATGTCCTGGTAGCGATCCAGGAGGTCCTTCGTGTAACTGTCCTGCGTCAGGAGCAGGCCATCCTCCGTCTTCTTGATCTCAAAGCCGTTGAACGAAACATCACCCCACTGCGGCTCCGTGCACTTCCATGTCTTCGTGAACATGTTTGCCACCTCAGCCGCCACTTGATCCTCCCCAACAATGAGGAGGTCGTCCACGTAACAGATCACCGCGCCTGCACGGCGAGATCCCACCATAGCGTACCAGAGGCTTCCATCCACCTCCGACGGACGAAGAGTAATCTCACCCTCCTTGATGTTCCCCTTCATCTTGGCCATGGTTTGGTTCCTGTAGACTTCCCAGCTCCTCGGAGAGGTAACCATGCCGTAGAGAGCCCTTTTTACTTTCCACACGGTTTCTTTGCAGATGCCGGCCATCAAGAACATCTTCGGCACCATCACCAAAGTAGGCCTGGAGTCCTGGAACAACAAGGGGGCCAGCAGGAAGGCTGTACGTACATCGATCACGCACACCCGCCATTTCCGTAAGGCTACCTCACGCAACAACAACCGAATCAGAACGCTGTCTGCGCCCGCAGCATACTTCTGAGCTTTCGTGAAGCACTGCCCCAGGAAATTGCCGCAGATCACAGCCCTCGTCTTCAAGCGTCCGGTGAAGGCCTTGATGGTGTGCACTGTCTTTCCGGGCACCAAGTCAAACTCCTTGCCTTCCTTCCTCCACTGCTCAAGCTTATCCTCCGGAAATGGCTCCACCGCGTCATTTTCCCGGATCAATGCCTCATACTCTGCAGCCATGCTCGGAGCCCAGCGACTGAGCTCTCTTCGGACGATCTCGTTGGGAATCGTTTTGGTGTGGAGCGGGACATCCTCCTCCGCCGCTGGGGATTCGATCTTCCTGATACTCTCAGTCCCGCCCTCCTCCAGCTCCCAGTACTGTTGAAGAACGCCTTCCAAACGAGCTCGGCTGTCGATCCAACGGGACAGGGAGCCACCAAGGTCCTCGCCATCTTCGCTTTGACCCAGTAGATGGTCCCTTTCCGCATACTCCTCCTGGACCAAAGCCAAGCGAAGTTCATCTCCATAGCCGCAAAACAAGTCCCACCCCACCTCCAAAGGACACTCCGAGCCCACTATCTGGTAGAGACTGTCATCATCGGCATCCAAAGACTTGAGCTGAGGAACTTCAGGTGGCCCAAAGGCCCCCCAGGCCTCTCCGAACCAGCCGTCACCTTCATCTCGTCCAGGTCCTTCTGGCGGATCCAACGCTTGATCGCCGATAAAGAACTCCTGTGGCCCACCACCAACCTGAGCTGCTGCCACCACGCACGTACACAACGACGGATCCACCTCATAGCCCTTGCATACGCACTGAAAAAGGCCCTGACTTTCACCACCAGCAACTTGATGAGATTCCAATGTCTGCTGCTCCCCCGGAACCAAGCTATCGCCTACATCCGTACGGCCCTGACTTTCACCGCCAGCAACTTGAGGAGATTCCAAGGTCTGCTGCTCCCCCGGAACCAAGCTTGCCTGCTTACAGTGGTCACAGGAAGAAAACGTAGTGCACAGCGACCTCAGAGCCCCCTTTGAGCGAAGCAAACTTTTTGTTGATCCCACCACATTACCCCGCCCCGCTGCTCCTCCTCCTTCAGGCTGCGCCTGAACCTGACCAAGCGGAAGGGGAAAGTCCAGTGCTTGTAGTAGATCACGATTGCTTTGGGAGCAATTTTCCACGCAGTTCACAGTGTAAGCACTAACGGTGATCCGGTGCCCTTGCCACGGTTGAGGTTGATGAGGACGGCATGGATCAAACGAGACCACCTGCTGATAAACATTGTGAAGTCGCCCTGGGAGCCACTTGTCCTGGAACTTTTTCCAGACCACATTGTCGTTGTCCATTGCATCCATGTGGCACCAGAGCTGACCGCCAACATAGTCGCCGACACCAAAGAGGTAGGCCTTCTCCCCCGGCTTGTTATTGCTGTCCCGGTGACATTGCATGGGCACGTTGAAGTTGATGGCGATGGTGGTGAAGGTCGTCCCCGGAGGAAGCTGAGCTTTCATTGCTCTGGTCAAGAACTTGGTCAAAGCTGGCCGCTGTCTTGCCAATGTGGTAGTTCCCACCACACCTCCATGTCGAAACATACCTGCCACATGCGCCGACACCTTCAAACGATCTTCAAAGGCTTTGCCACGACGATTGGGAATCTCCATGTCACCCAACCACAATCCACCGAGAAGTTCCTCCACAGCTGCCAGGGAGTAATCCTCCGCCTCTAGGAACGTCTCCGCAAGCTCCTCATCCTGGATGAGATGTTCCTCCTGCTGCAAATCCAGCTTTTGCAGACGCTCCTCTTCACACTTGGCAATAGCCATGGTAGACTTTCCACGAATGCGGTGTCGAGCGCCTGGCTGCCCACTAGGAGCCGGAGCAGCATCCACCTCAAATTCGCCTGAGACTTCCTTGACGTTCTCTACCGCTAACATGGTGGTAAGGTAACTGCCATCCTCAGTCTTGACCAGGAAACCTTTGGCCACATCCAAGGAAGGACATAGAATCCGCGCTGCAACCACCTTCTCCACAAAGTCTTCCTTTAGCATCTTCCACGACCTCTTCTTCACAAAGACCTTGGTGCCAAAAGGTGGTAGTCGAGGATACCGACCACCAAGTTGGGTGACCACAGACCACTGGATCCGAGCCACATAGTGTCTCATAGCGAACGACCAAGATTGAGAACCCATTGTCGCTCCACTCAACATGGTCCTCACCGCATTCTTGGCCCTGCCAACCAAACCTTCAACCCGGCCGTTGGACTTGAAGTTGTCACCGCCGGTGGTCGTACGAACAATGTCCCGATCGGCACATAGAGCTCGAAAAGCCTTGTTGACGAACTCCCGACCGCAGTCCGTGTGGATCCGCCGGACCACCAAACCAAGTCGCCGAACTTGAAGAAGAATTTCCTTGGTGGCCGCGAGAACCTCTGGGGCCGCCTTGGAGCTCAAGGGCACAAAGAACGGAACTTCCACCGTGGTGACGTTTTCGACTTTCTCCTTTTCGATTAGAGCCTGCCACTTGGCCTCCTCCCTTTTCGCTCGGGACTTTTCGGCGTCTGCAAGAGGCTCACCTTCATCATCGGCCTGCTCTCCATCCTCGTAGATCGGGTCCTCATCCAGAACCGGTCCTACTCCACTTCCATCATCAGCCTCCTGAGGTTCCGTA